ACTATGTACTATGTACTATGTACTATACCTATGTACTATGTACTATACTATGTACTATGTACTATGTACTAGTATGCACTATAAGTATGTACTATGTAGTATGCACTACACGTATGTACTATGTAGTATGTACTATGTGGTATGTACTAAGTACAATCCTGCCAAGTATGTACTCTGTACTATGTCCAATCCTTGCGAGTATGTAGTATGTACTATACTACTATGTACTATGAAGTAGTATGAACTAGTATGAAGTATGCACTACAAGTATGTACTATGTACAATATAATGCTGCAGTCAAATTAGTAGATTACCTTCATGGGAAGATCCAGTCCCGAGGACGACGTGTGCAGGCTGATGCCGAGATCCGCAGACCCTGCTCAAAGTTCAATCACAGTGGCATAAGATGGAAGTAAACCGCAAATCATCAGTTCATGAGATGACTCGTCCGTTTAGCGGCCCGCTTGCACACTGTGAAAAAGAAGTAGAGTTAAGGGAGAGAGGATAGAGAGAGTGGAAATATGGAGCAAAGGAAGACAAAGGAAAAATAAGGCGTGTGGAACAAAAGATGACAGCATAGGATAAGCGAAGACTCAGGAGTCGGGCTGTCCTTGACTACAGAGAGAACGAAAAATGGTAGGGAGGAGAATCATGAGATCGATGATGAAGTGGAAGACCTAGCTGAGCATTCTCACCAAAACAGTTACCATGACAGCTGGCATTCCCCCTGCCCACCAAATGCTCCCAAGAAATGGCATGTCAGTTTCAGCCTTCGGGTTGCAGGTGAGGAGAAGGAGCAAAGGACATCACACACGCGAATACATTTTTTTTTTTTTTTCATTTTTTTTGTCACATATCTGTGAAAAGTTGTGGCAACTAAAAGAGCGAGCGCACTTTGCGCAAAACAAATGACAATTTTTTTTTACGGAACACAAACATGAAGTGCACACCGGATCCGTTCTTTTGATCGTTTCTTCTTTTACCTCCCCCTTCACTGTGCATCCCACGTACAAGGCTCGCCGCTTTGATGAAATTGAATGCGAGCGGCCCGGATTCCCGTGTGCCGTAAGGGTCCACTTCTACGCTGTGAAAAACAGGCGGAGTAAAAGGGGAGGGGATAAACAGAGAGAAAATATGGAAAGAAGAAGACAAAGCAAAGGACGAGACGAAGGGAAATTAAGAGAAAGTAAGGAGTGTGGAATGAAGATGAAAGCAAAGGAGAGGATAAGAGAAGGCTCGAGAATCAGTCTTTTCCTTGATGACAGAGAGGACATACATCGTAAAGATTCGTAAGGATGAGATATATTGAAGACATGGAAGACCTGGCGGAGCATTCTCAGTACACCTGTATATACATAGGTATTGTCACTTATCTATGAACTAAAAGAGCGCACTTTACGAAACAAACGGTAAAGAACAAAAACAAAAAAAAAAACAAGACAAGGAATGAAGGGCACACTGAAACCATAGGCAGGAAGGGAGAAAAGGACAAAGAAACATAGAAAGGAACCTGTTTCATCACAGAATCATCAGTTTCACCGGCCGAGTCATCAGGCGGTTGAACCCTGAGTTGGTGAAAGTCTGATTGCACAGAGTCCACTTCGGCCGCCAGTTTTTACAACCCTTTTGTTCTTCTCTGCCTTTCCACTGATGGTTCACCAGGCAGTTCTTTGTGAATCATGGATTGGCAGAAGGAGAAAAGTAGATATACTCCACAACAGCAGTCAAAATCAGACAGACAATGTGTATAATATGACTCAGCGCAGACTCATGAGTAATTGTGTCTGGCCTGGAAGGTCAAAATTCAAAATGTAAAATTATTATAGTATTAAAATTTAATATGTATTATACTAAAGTCATGTGTATAATATGAGCTTGTCTACTTATTTCAGGACACTGGCAGAAGGAGAAAAAGGAGATATACTCGGCAAAAAGACGTCAAAATTGGACAGAAATAGTGTCAATGACTCAATGTGTATAATACGATTCAGCCTCTCAGGGCATACTCATACTACAACCTTCTCTACTAGTTTCTGGACACGACTGCCGTCAGACAAATCCAGGTCCAGCCGTAATTGTGGTCAGATACATGTCAGAAAGTCCTGGTGTGAGTTTGCTCTTGGGCTGTTAAGTGCACCAATTTCTTGGCACCACCGCAGCTACCAAAACACAAGATTTCTCACATCCCTTCTCCCCCCCCATTTTCTTGGCACTACCGCAGCTACCAGAAAACAAGATTTCTCACCGNCCCCCCCCTGTCAGAAAGTCCTGGCGCACACTTAGGATGAAGCAGATGTGGACCAAGTGCAGCTTACCAAGAAGCAGCGGATAGTCTTCCGCGGCAAGCCAAAGAGTTCGGAAAGCGACATGCTGTAGGTTTAAGTGCCGAACACGGTCTTCAAACTCTTCCCTCAGTGGACCTTTACCTGCAATTGGCCAGAAGGGTGGTACAAAAAATCAACAATAGCGAAAATTCAGCAGAAAACGATGCCGGACTGTACGACCGAAAACCCTAGGCCAGAAGGGTGGTACAAAAAACCAACAATACCGAAAATTAAGCAGAAAACGATGCCGGACTGTAAGGCCGAAGACCCTAGAGATCGATAGTGTAAAGCCGAAGACCCTAGACATCGGTAGTGTGTCTGATCCTTTCCCTCTTCTGAACTTTGAGTTAGGTGTTTGGAAAACAAGCCTGAGCAACCTAATCATTGGGCCTTGGTCCACTGGATAACACTCGACATGGATTTGGGCGCTTTTGATGGACCAAGTGCATTCGGATGAGTCCAACATTTGAATTTTGAAATTTGAATGCATCAGGTCCAGAAAGCGTCCAAAATTCCAAATGCATGTAGAGTGTTGTGTAGTGGATCCAGGCCCATTGCCCAAGAATAAAAGCAATGAAGGATCATACCTTATTTATCTACCTCTCACCTCCATGCCTGTTTCCCTTTGCTCTTTCCTTTTTCTTTTTTTTCCCTTTTGTCCGTCTATATTGTTTTTTTTCACTTTTTTCTTCTTCTTCTGTTTTTGTCTGTTCCCGACCCCCCCCCCCCTCTTCCTGCTCACCCCTTGCCTGTCTTGTCTAGTTGTACTTGTTATTTGCGCTGTTTTCCTTCCTGCCTGCTTTGTCTAGTTTTTGACCTTCTCTTTCTCGTTCTGTATCGCTCAGTCTCAAACTTTTCTGGCAGCTACCGTCTTCAACCGAATTGAACGCCCGGTCATTATAGCTGCATCTGGACTGAAAATTGCACCAGATACGGCTATAATGACCGGCGGTTCTATTCCGGTGAAGACGGTAGCGAGCCCCAAATGCTCATCTGTCAGACCCAGGAGCCCTTGAAATTTCTCTACATTGCATTCCAGTTTTGGTTTCTTGTTGTTTTGTCCGCCTCGTCGCTCCAGTCTATATATTATTATATTCCAAATTTTCTCTCTCCTTCATGACCTCCGGAATCCCTTTCCCTTCTGGTCCCTTCTTGTTTTCCCCTCCGCCCCCCCCCCCCCCCCCCTTTTCTCTTCATCGTCTCTTATTCTCTCCGTTTCCCGACCCCCGCCTTCATTGTTCCGTCTACCTTTCACTGTCTTTGCTCTTGGTCTCCTTCCCCCTCACTGCTCTAGCCTGTACATTGTAAATTTATCTTCCCGCATGGCCTTCCGGAGCTCTCTCCCTGCACAGGTCCACCGATGTTCGGCCCTGGCCAGAAGGCCGAAAATCGTCATTTCGCTGTCTTTGCTCTCGCTCTCCTTCGTCATTTCGTTGTCTTTGCTCTCGCTCTCCTTCCCCCCTCACTGCTCTAGCCTGTACATTGCAAAGGTCCACCGATGCTCGGCCCTGGCCAGGAGGCCGAGAGTCCGAGACAGACATGCCCAGCACAGACGGACAGAAATGAACAGGAGTCCGACGATAATATAATCAACCAACAGCCCTAGCTCAGTTAGTACACCGACGAACTGTTGAAATACAGACCCAAGTTCGCATCCAGATATAAATTCATATAATCATATTATAATTATTAATCAACCTGATAGCATTCTGTCGATGATTCCGATAATCAACCGGAAAGCAGGAAGGACGTTCAAGGAACTGAAATTGATCTTAGGAAAAAAAAAAGGCCAACAGCACAAAGGAGATACATACAGCCTCATACACAATGAACTGTTGAAATACAGACCCGAGTTAGAATCCCCCCAGATGCAAGCAGATAAACAGCGATACAGGCTCATAAAAGGAATTTAAAATTTCAAATTATTTAATTGATGACTACAGGGGGTTCCAATTTCAACTTCCCGGGGTCATATATACCTGTGATGATGAACAGAATATCTGGGTACCGACTACCCTCAGCCAATGAGCTGTAATTTTGCATCGATGCCTCTACACGCTGATTGTACATCACCCCTGCCTCCAGCAATAACGAAAAGTCTTCATCTGCACCCCTGGCAAGGAAAGCCACATAGTTCTCCTTTATTATTAAATAATAATTTAAATAATAAATTATTAATAAAAAAATATAGTTTTGGTGAAGTTCAATGTTGTTTTTTTAAGATCTTCACAATCGCTCTTGGAAACTCTTTACCAGGTTCCACTAATGTAGTTTTTTTTTTTCTTTTGTAATTTCATACAAACTATTACAAAGACATACTTGAGGTGAGCTTTTTTATTTTTTGTTTTGTTTTCTCTGGTGAGCTATTTTCGAGCATTTTCGGAGCATCACACACCGTTATGACAAGTTTACGTGTTATGTCTTGGTGCTTTTAGTTCACGGCGAACTTCACGCTCCATTCAATACGACATCACTTACACTCATGCCTCTTCTTCAATGGGAGCAAAGCACATGGACAACTGCCCTTTCCTAATCAAGTAGTCGAGGAAATAGTAATACCTTTTCTTGCGAGCCCCAGTTGAGGCAATGCAGGCACGCGCCACCGAATTTCTTGTGTTTTAGACATATTTGTTTTTTTCAACTTTTTTCAAATTTTTTGCTAATAAAATTAATGCAATTGCAAATGCTTCTCCAAGATTTACCTCAAGTCCGGTCACCACCAGAGATTGAGATTCATCCTGAAGATCAGCACAAAACAGCCTTGAAGACCATATATATCTATATGGGTATTACGAGTTTCTTGTCACGCCGTTTGGTCTGACTAATGCACCTGCCACCTTCCACTATGCCACGAATAAAATTCTCATGGACTGCCTGGATAGGTTCGCCGTTGTTTATTTAGGTGACAAACTGATTTTCAGTGAGTCCCTCAAAGACATGAAAAACATCTCCGGGCTGTTTTGCAAAGATTGATTACATGAGCACAAGTTCCAACTGAACTCCGCAAAATCTGATCTGAATTTCTCGTCATCTCGTGGGCTAAAGTTGTATGCTTGGGCCACCTGATCTCTAGCAAAGGTCTAGCGCCCGAGGTCTGGAAGGTGGCCGCAGTCCGCGACGGACCATGACCCACATATGTTAAGGATGTACGTTTTTTTCACGGGACTTGCTTCCTAAAATATAGCAAATTTGTTCCCGACTTTGCATCGATCGGAGAGCCCCTTTGACTGATCTAACAGGAAAGTATGTACCATTCATCTGGTCCAAATTCTGTAGCAAGGCTTTCAAAACTCTGTTACGATCCTGGTCATTTCCCAAGTGCAAATTCACAAGGGAAAGACAATGCCACCCATACTGTGATCTTGAGTAAACAGTATGGTACTATGGACTGTCAAGGCTTTCAAAAAACTCTGAAGAAAAAGTCTTGACAGAAAGCCTTGACACTGTTTACTTAAGATCGCAGACCCTTCGTTGCCTTTTGTTCTTACCGCGGACACTACCGTCTTCACCCGAATAGAACGCCCGCCGCCCAGTCATTTATCGCTGCATCTGGACCGAAAGTTGTGCCAAATACAGCTATAATGACAGGGCGTTATATATTCGGGTGAAGACGGTAGTCAGGTAAGCGTAGGAGCCGTCTTGCAACATAATGACGGCAAAGGCCTCATGCCCGTGGAGTTCCTGCGCAAGAAAATGCCCTTGGCATCACCCCACCTACTAGCACGAACTTTATGCACTCTTTGTAGCACTACCACGGACACTACCGTCTTCACCTGAATAGAACGCCTGGTCATTTATCGCTGCATCTGCTCTTTAAATGCCCCAAATACAGCTATAATGATGGGGCACGTGGAGTTCCTGAGCAAGAAAATGCCCTTGGCATCACCCCACCTACGAGCACGGACTTTACGCACTCTTTGCAGCACTATAAAGCGCTGGAAACATTATCTGTTGGGCACACATTTCAAGGTATTCTTTGATCCTCGTGAGACCTCCCAATGGATGAAAACCCAACCGAAACTTTCCGCCAAACTTTCTTGTTGGAGTCAACTCATAGACACTTATGACCTTGAGTTCATAAATGCAAGGAAGGATGCTATGCTACAATAGAGTTGCTGATGCCCTCTCACGACGACCAGACAACCTCTCTATCTTGGTGGATAGCTTTAAAATTTGGCAGACTTTCTCTGAAGGAGGCCATTAGACTAGTCTTAGTAGCGGACAAAGTTTCTTTGGACCAAGTCGTTGTCAAAGTCTGCGAAATGATCCCATCTCCCTGAGGACAGCGTACTATGTGCATGATGACGTTCTTTTCCTCCCCAACAAAGGTACGGAAAGAATGAAGAATGTGCATCACGGAAACGCTTGACCTTGTGATATCCCTGGTGTTCGGTGAATGTCATGATGCAGAGGGACATTTTGGGTTCTACAAGACCGATGCGTTACTCCAACGATTCTACTGGGCACCTATGAAAACCGATGTGCGGCACACGCCGACACTATATCTGTCAGGCTGCGAGGTTTGGCAAACAAATAAAATCCAGAGGCAGAAACCTCTTGGCTTCCTCCTCAAACCGCTTCCAGTTCCTTCTGGCCCCGGAGAGGTCAGTGTCAATCGACTTTAAACTTTAAAGTGTTTACACACGCAGGAACCAAGAGCACAAGAGGAATGGCACAGGTTATGCACGCACGCAAGGAGGTTGTCATTCAAGCATTCCACCAAGGGTGGATATACCAATGGGTATACTAGTCAAGTCAATAGTCAGCGATCGAGACCCTCGCATCACCAGCGACAAGCGGAAAGGTATCGAGAAGGTCTATTTCCACTCTCGGTTAGATATGAGCTCCGACCGACATCCATTATCACTCTCGAGTTTTTGTTTTGATTGCAATATCAAGTCCATCTGTTCCGAAATTTTGGGATTCGATGATTTAATCTCAGACATCCAGCGTCGTTGTTGAAATGTAGCATCTTTGTGAAGCAACATCATTTTTCTTAGCATACTTGGAATTTCGCCTCAAAAAAAAATTGTTTCAGCTCCTTTGAGCTTGGAAATGAATGGTCAGGCTGAGGAGATGACAGGAAAAAAAAATTGTTTCAGCTCTTTTGAGCTTATATACAACCAGATCAAGTTGATTGGGATAGACATTTAACTAGATAGTATTACATCCGCCAAGTTGGAGGAAGAGAGTGGCACTTGTCGGAGGCTATGGTGGATGGACATCGGAGAGAGACAAGAGAGACGAACTTGTGCACTCTTCTTTGGCAGGCTACTGGTTGTTGTTCCTCGCTAGAGATGAAACTTGTACTCAACTCGACGGGGATAATAATTTGTGGATGGAGTTCAGGTGGTTGGAGGGGAGGAGAGATCTTGGGCTATTCTTTTCTATCTCAATCTCTGTTTGGTTTGCCATTCACCGGTGCGTGAAGTGAGTTGTCTTGAGCAGGTACATTGTACGGACAGTACTTGGCACGGCAAGTGTTACATGCTGAGAGCCTACACACGGGCCCCTCATGGGACCCGAGGTTGGAATAGGGCCCCCAGGTCGCGTCACCGCAACCTGAAGGCCCTATGGCATTTTTACTTGGGCCTGCATCAGAACAACGCCAGCTTTAGAGAATTTTTATGTTCTTTTATTTATTTAATTGCTGTTGTTTTTCTAACGTGTGTGCTGTTGTCCGTTTTGTGGCCAGGTACATGTTCTACGGCCAGGACCTGATTCAGGCCCAGAGGCTGAGCCTCCAAAAACGTTTGGACCGTTTTTTTTTGTTTTCGGACAGATTTTGGACCATTCGGACCTGGACCGACGTTCAGGCCCGATGCATTCGCATAGGCCCTGAATCGGACCAGGTACCGAACAGGCCAGCCCTGGGCAGGGCCTGGACGTCCGGTAGGGACCCAGGCAGGCCGTTTTAGGGCAAGGGCTGAACCAGTTTCGAAACCTGCGATCTGGACCGTGGATCGGATTTCGATCTGCACGGTCCAGAACGCAGGCCGTGGGGTTTCAGTCCTG